CCACCTCTCAGTGCTGGGACCCCGTCTGTCTTGAACATGTGCAGGCCTTGTGTGTACTGTCATAGTCTGTAAGGACTAAGGTATTTTTCCGCCTGCCACTGGTCTTGTCCCACCACCGCGCCAACCCCAATTAACACACCGAGACTCTGTATTTGATATAATGTTGTTGGCCAGATACTAGTTTCTTATCGGCTAGTTCTGTCTTAATTATTAACCCATTTCTATATATTTCCACGTGGTCTTACCAGGGAGAGGTGGCTGGCGGTTCTGCTTTCTCCAGACTCTCCATCTTGACTCCTTCTTCCTCCTTCCTCTTTCCTCCTTGCCTCCTAGTCCCTCCTATCTAGCTTTCCTATTGGCCAACAGTGCTTTATTCATTAACCAATATGAGAAACATATTTACAGAATGACATCTGCCATCAGTAGTCTCTGTGCATTAATGTATATGTCAGTCCTCTTGTCTGGAAGACACTGTTTGTTGGTGACTTCCACCCACTTTGGCTCTTAAAATCTTTCTGCCTCCTGTTCTGTAAAGTTCCCTGAGCCCAGAGGAAAGGGATTAAATGGAGACATGCATCTTTGAACTGGGTGTTCCAAGGTCTCTGCTTCTCTGCACGTAATCTAGCTGTAGGTCTCTGTATTACTTACTTTCCATCTACTGCAGGAGGAAGCATCTATGATGATGGCTGAGTGAGGTTTTCCAGAACAACTGTGGAATCTATTCCTCTGACTTATTATATAGCCTTTGTATTAAAAGAATTTATATGTTGAATTTCTATTTTTTTACTATAAATAACACTTCAAATTTGATATCAATGGTATTTATATTTTTTGATGCATATACTTGAAGGATATGTTTTCCTACACTAGCAGTGAATCCTAGCAATCAGTTCAGCTTTTATACCACATTGAAACTTATTTTTACCAACTCATTATTTCCATGTTAAAAGAAAACATGCTTCCTAGCTGTTTTAATCATGATTAATAAAGTACTCTTTAGTTTTTTCATTTAGAGCCACACCTAATTAATTTTATACTGTAATGAACCTTTCAAAATGTTCAGAAAAACTCTTCAGAATGGATTCCTAAGTCTGTAACTAAACACAGGTGCTCTTTTGTTTCAGTATGCATTTGGGGAAATGATGTTACTTTGTTGTTCTCTGCTAGAATTTGTAGCTGTTGCCTTTGAAATTATTCCTTGTAAACAGCTCTTGTGATAAACCAGTATTGTTAGAGTCCGTCTGGAGTGTAGCTGGTCCCAAAGAAGGATATCAAGCATGTTATTATCCCAAGTCGTGCTTTAATATCCAGACCCATTTCACATGGCTTTTGCACTTGCCCATAGTGGCCTCCCACTTGGCATTCATATTAACTGTTAGATTAACCACCTAGCATTTCATTTTCCAGCTTAGTTCATAGTACAGTTTTGTTCCATTATGACAAGCCTTCAATGTGAAGGCTAAAATTATAGCTTTCCTTTGTGGTCATCACCCTTTTAACCTCTGTGGCTTCCCAGTGTACACATAGTCCAGCAATTAATTTTGAACAATTGTAAAATTTTCATATGCATAATAAAAATAAGAAATGAATGATGCTTTTAAAGGATCTTATGCACTTTGCCTTCCTAAGGGGTAACAGGCATCTAAAAATCATGTGTTATAGAGATTCAAAAGTTAAATTTTAAGAGTTAAGGAAGACTGAACCTAGAATCAGAATTTTTTTTCATGAGCAAGTAATTATCTACCACTTTTTACAATTAAATGATAAATGGGACTTCTCATTCAACCACCAGGTGCTTCTTTTTGCATGGAGAGACCAAATGAAGACTGCAACTCAGTAAACCTTAGGAAATTATAGTTTAAACATGCATTTATTATATCATGGGGAAACAACCTTATTTCTTAGTTAAGTGCTATTTACAAAAAAAAAAAAAAAGAAAGAAAGAAAAGAAAAGAAAAGAAAAAAAATGTTAGTGAATATTGAAAAAAACAAGTTATTAGTGTGTTTTGTTTATTTTATTTATTTTTGTTGCTGTCACAAAATATCTGAACTACAGCAATGCATAAATAAATGTCTTTAGCTCACAATTCTGAAGAACCAAGAGTTTGGTTTCCCATTAGGGTCCTCAAGCCATGTCAGCTCTCAGGAAAAATATGAAAAGGGTTAGGGGATTAGAGGGTGTGATTAGAGTAGGTTGAACTGCTTTATAGCAACCCATTCTTATGGTAAAGAACTGAATTTCACAGAAACTAACTTTACCCCCGACCCTAACCTCTCTCATCATCAACTCAGTCTCTAGAGAAAGTTTACTAATTTTTTTCTTTCTTTAATTTGTTTGGTTTTTCAAGGCAACGTTTCTCTGAGTAATGCTAGCTATCCTGGAACTCACTCTGTGGCCTAGGTTGTCCTTGAACTCAGAGCTCTGACTACCTCTGCCTCCTGAGTGCTGGGTTTAAAGGTGTTTGATGACACTGATACTACCATCACATGAGAAATCTACTCTTGGTAATGTTCCTGTAACCTAGTCAATCAAGACAGGCCCATCTCTTAAAGGTCCTAACACCCTTCATAACTGCCATATTAAAGACCAAGCTTTCAACACTTGAAACTTGGAAGTGGGGGAAAAAACATTCAAAACACAGAGGATGTAAAAAGAGAGTAATGTGGAAACTTTTCAACTTCACACCATTGTGATTGTGTACTGTGTACTTCTTTATTGTGAGTTCATTCTGTGCTTTGCAGCAAGTGGAGAAGGATCCTTGATCTCTCTTCCCACTAGATGCCAGTAGCATCCCTTCCTGCATGTGGTTGTATTTAAAAGCTCTTCTAGATATTGTGCAAGATTTTGTTAAATACTGAACTTGAATGAAATGTGATCAAGAAAAAACTGATACCTACAATAATTGAGAAATGTATTAACATTTGCCATGTGTTCCTTGACCATGGCAACATAGCAAGGCAATTTTAATTAAATTATAAAAGAAACAAATTTTATTTCTCTGATATAGCCCTCATTTTGATAGTTGGGCTGAGATGGTTCCTAGTTATACCCCTTGTAGAAGGACTATCTGTAGTGATCCATCCTAATAGCATCTGAGACAGACTCCCTTCTATAGAGCTTAGATGCTGAATCATAAAGCAAGGGCCCGGGATAGCTCTGGTGGACTAGTGTTGGGTTAAGACATTATTCAAGCCAAAGAATCTCCAGGAAGCAGTGAAAAGCATGCCTTGCTTTATTCCTCACCTCTGTCCTCAAGCTGAGGATTGGACCCTTGCACATATTACTGGGTTGCATCTCCAGCACCTGCTTCTTTGAAATGGTCTAATTATGCCACCTCCTTTGACTTTAGATTCATGATCTTCTTGCCATCACCTGTTGAGCTCTAGAAATGCAGACCTAAATAAGCATGGCTAGTCTGTTGTTTTAATTCATGAGTAATATGGTATGCTTTGTAGCCAGAGTTTCTCTGAACAGTTCTGAGCCCAGGTTTGGGGACAGGTTTGCTCCAGTAAAATGAGGAAGTTAGGCATTCTCTCTCTCTCTCTCTCTCTCTCTCTCTCTCTCTCTCTCTCTCTCTCTCTCTCTCTCTCTCTCTCTCTCTCTCTCCTCACAGTGAAAAGTCTCTGCAGATGATGGATCTTCTGAGCCTTGTTCATCAGCAGACTACAGACTCTATTGCCTGTGCCCTCACAACTCCCCTGTGTGTTTGGCCGTCAGTCTTGAGTGAGTGTTGTGAGGAAGGGTAATGGCTTCCAAGTTTTCCCCTTGCAGATGGAATTTGAATTGGACTGGGAGGAAGACTGAAAAAGACCAGTTAAGTGTAGAATGTTAAAGTAGGTCACAAGCACCGCCAAAGCCTCTTTGGTCAAATCAACTTTGTAGTTGAGGATACAGCTGAGCTGTGAGCCCCACAATGGTATCAGGACTTTAAACAGCTGATAAGCTCCTAATCTGAAGGAGATGAAGGCCAGTGTCTCTTTCCAGGAAGCAGAAAGCCAAGAGTCGGATGTGGGGCATCCAGCTACAGCAGGACTGTTTTACCCTTAGTTTGGCACAGCTGCAGAAGTCTTGATTGCTTCACCTGGCTCAGTCTTTCTTATCTGCTTGGCTCTGTCTCTCACTCCAAGAAGAAACCTGTTTTCCCACATACCAAGTTTTCTTCCCTGAATCCTGAATACCCTCTTCATTTCCTCTTTGTTCTTTTGACTGTGTTTTTGGCCTTGTCTGGAATGACAGTATCTTCTGCTGCAGGAGCAGGTTCCTTTTTGTAGTGCTAGCTTCATCTGTAGTATGCCTCCTGCTCAGGTTTGCCCATAGCTCATTCATTATGTACCGATCTGAACTTGCTTTTATTCTTAAGCCAGTGACTATGATATTATTAATTAATTAGCATGAATACTGACTCATTTTTTTTCCTGCATAAGTCATGGCTTGTGGCTTAGTTTAGAATAATGGCTAATAGTTTTGAATGTATGTGTTTCTATGTACTTCACCTAAATGGTGAATTCCTGGAAGACACATTTTTGTGCTTTTTATATTTCATCAAGCATATTAATATATCTGTATTAATGGCTAGCCAGGCATTAATCATATTCCAATACTATTTTATTATCAAAACAGATGTGGCTTGTAGGAATTCCTGCCTCATCAAAGGCACTCTGCCTTCAGGTTTAAGTTGAGTACATGTTCTGTAACACCAGAAAAGTCAGGTCTATTATGTCACACGAGGCACTCTCATTTGGAATGCCTTGAATTTGTAAGAGATCCATTTAACTGACAGTGATAGATATTGAATTGTGGCTCTATTAACATCATTTTGGACATGAAGTGTGTCATCTTGCTTCAAATGGTACCTAATGTGAATGCTGTCTGTCAAAGTGACTTATGGCATATATCACAAGTATCTGCACGTAGAATTCTAACTGACCTTGATTTTATTTATTTATTTATTTATTTATTTATTTATTTATTTATTTATTTTTATCACACTCTTAGGTACCTCTTGCCTCTGCACAGATGAATATTTGAAAGTACCTTCATCAAACATCTGCAACCATGGAGACCTCATCAATGCTTTCATCACTGAATGATGAGTGCAAATCTGACAACTACATCGAGCCGCACTACAAGGAGTGGTACCGTGTGGCTATTGATGCTCTGATTGAACATGGCTTAGAAGCCTACCAAGAATTCCTTGCTAAGGAGCGAGTGTCTGACTTTCTAGCTGAGGAAGAAATTAATTATATTTTGAAAAATGTCCAGAAGTTTGCACAAAATACAGAGCGTGGTTCTGATAATTCCTGTGATGATGCCTCATCTTCTGGGACTTATTGGCCCATGCAGTCTGACGTGGAAGCTCCAAATCTTGATTTAGGCTGGCCATATGTGATGCCTGGACTCTTAGGGAGTACCCATATAGATCTCCTCTTTCATCCACCAAGAGCACATCTACTTACAATAAAGGAAACTATCCGGAAGATGATGAAAGAGGCAAGAAAGGTAGTAGTATGTCTATTTTTAAATGAAAAAAATATAAAATGTGGAGAAGTGCAATGCTGTAATATGATGGGCACGTGTTAATTTAAAAATCACTGGGTATGGTTAATGCCTGTTATTTTCTCAAATTATACATACATACAATCACACACAGACATATATACATACTACATATATATATATGCATGCATACACACATGCATATATATGTATATATATATACATTCACACACACATATATATGTATATACATATATACATATATATATATATGAAGTTCACACACTTCTCATCTCTTTAAGATTTATTTGTGTGTGTGTGTGTGTGTGTGTGTGTGTGTGTGTGTGTGTGTGTGCGCGCCAATGAATGTAGGTGCTCGTAAAGACCAAGGAAGGTATCATCTACTGAAACTAAAGTGACAGACTGTTGAGGACTTCTCAGAAAGGGTACTAAGAACTGAACTTGGGTCCTCTGAAAGAATAGCAAATGTTTTTAATTATTCAGCCATCTCCCCTGCCCCTATATCCCCCATATGTTATGTGTATCTGAGACAGTAGTAATAGGTCTCCACTAAAGGAGCTATCATGAGAAATTATTTTCTTTCATATTGGACCTAAGAAGCCTTCAGCCCTTGGAAATGAAGGTACATGAACTGAAATAAGATGATTTTTGACATATTCGTATGTTTAAAGCACTTCAAGTCTTCTTACTCTTTAGAATATATATATAAAATAAATGTATATATATGAAATTGTATATGTAATATATGTGCACACACACGTGTGTATGTGTGTGTGTGTATATATATATATATATATATATATATATATATATATATATATAATCTTTGTTTGACATAGGACTAAAAACAAATTCCTGTTCTCAGAATGGTTCATTATATTATTATATAAACTAGAGTTCTACTTAACTATTTTCTGAATTACACATTAATGTATAATGTAAAAATCAATGTTTTTCAAGCAAAGTTCTGAAGCACTTAGCAGTTTGAGACCTTGTACTCTTTGTCGAGTACTTACATTGCCTTGTAAATCTTATAAAACTTATTTTAGAGTTCAAATAAAACTTCAGAAATATCCTTTTAATCAATGAAAATTATTACAAGTTTTTTTGCATCTCTCCTTTGTTTGTTTAAATGTGATGATCACCATGGAAGATATTTTTAAGATTATTATAACATTTCTCAAGTTTGAAAGATTCGGGCCAGTCTGGGCATGGTGGCACGTGTCTGTAATCTTAGTACTCAAGAGAGAGTCAACAATGGCCATCTTTGGGGGCATTCTGATATCTGTAGTGAATTCTGGACCAGACAAATTTAGTTAAACACTGACTCAAGTTTAAAAAAAAAGCAAACAAAAAATGAACAAAAATATGATTTTTATTTATAAAGTATCTATTAGGTCCATCCGTATAATAAAGAAATTTAGGACATTGAAAGGCCTGAGGAAACACACAAACATGTCCTCTTTTTTTTTTTTTTTTTTTTTTTTTTCTATGTTGACATGACACAACAGTGCTTGAAAAAAATAGTTTGATGAAATATAAAAAAATAAGGACCTCAGTTCTCAGTGACATTACAGTTTTCAAGACAGATAACTAATATTCAAAAGTCACACCAGGGAGACTCAGTGTTCTTAAACTAGTTTTGGACATAGGTTTTGTGAAAGTAAGGCAACCCTAACCATTTGAATTCAGATAACCTCACTTCTTAAGGGTGCTGATTCCATTAGCATTACTATGTCTACAAAAAATGCTTACCTGTTTTAATTATTAAACATTAGCTATCATATGAGGACATAATAGTGGACCAAGCCACAATTCAATATCACTGCCAGTCAAACTTTCTGAACTGATATATTTTAAAAACTATCCCTTCTTTGGTGCTGGTCACAAATGATACAATTACATTTTATAAATAAAGTGAGAATTAAAAATCATAATAACAAGTGTCACTTACCAATTGTTGTTTGCTTCTATCAGGGTATATGATTTACCTTGAGTCACATTATTAAAGGTGAACTGGTGACTGCATAGGAGTAGTTGCATACAAACTGATTCCCCTCCCCCAAGCTGTGAAACCATAAACATAATGCAAGTAATAACATACATTTTTTGGCCAGCCCACCCATTGAAGCTGAGCAGTACTCATGACCTGCTCATATATAATTTTTACTAATGTAGCTCTGTGTATTTAATGAGCCTCTGCAATTATATCTTTATCTGGAAACTCCTACTTGAATTGGGACTTCCAGAGGAACTGAAAGCCCATAATATATAAAACAGGGTTATATTCTACTTCTTGTCTGTACAATCAAAATGGCATAAAATTTAAAAAAAAATAAAAGCATTTCATCATATTATAGACATGCTGGATTAAGGAAAATTATTTGATATTATAAATTGAATATATTGCAGTTGAGTATAAATCATGGAAGATAATAATTGTTGGTTCAGGAGATCAAATATTGTCATCTCTGTTCAGATGCAGTGATTATCAGCCTCTAGTTGGCTCCCTGCATAAAGAGTATTGCATCAGAAGTACTTTATCTCAAGGACTTTACACATCCCTTCAGAAACCACTCTATTTGCAGATTTTGAAAGGATACAATACTCAGGAAATTCTGTAGTATCTCTCCACCTTCCCCCCTTTTAACCTCATAACTAATCAAGGTCTTATTAAGAATTTCAATGGAAGATCAATTAATCAGCCAGATACAGGATCGGACACATGGTATCACCCAAATGCCAGATACTGAGGCAGGGGTGTTGTGAGCTAGAAATCAGCTTGGGCTCTATAGTGTGATGTTGTCTCAAATGGCCAGGTTAATTAATAATACAATGAAAAAAAAAGTACTATAAAAGCAGGCACATGGATTTTTAATTATGATCTTCGTGCCTGCCATCTCTTCAACTGGAAATCATGCCCCGTTTTTATCTTGTAGAATTCATGGGAACCTGCTAATCAGTGATAAACTTTGCTTTGGACTTTTTCAGAAGATTAATTTTCCTTATTAGTAACTCAGTATATTGTCATAATATTGCATTGGGGTGACTTTTATCATAATGGTTTCGAATAAGATAGACTTAAAGTGGTAGAAACAAACTTCTTGCTTCAGAGCTTCTAAAGAGAGTCTTCAGCCTTGTCAAAATTTATAGAAATACAATGCTAGATAAATAAGTCTGTGACCAGGGACAGAAGAGACGGATCTGGTCCCAAATTAAGTTAATTCTATGCTTATTATTCCATTTGTAACTAAGCTAAGACACTTTTTTTTTTTTCTTTTAACTCTTTGGGGCCCTGCCACCCGTCTGCCAAATAAATAGAGGGAGACTTAGTCTTACTTATGAATGTTTAGCTCCTTAGCTTGGCTTGTTTCTAGTCAGCTTTTCTAACTTAGATTAAACGATCCTGTTTTCTTCTGCAATTTTGCCTTGGGGATTTTTGGCTGTTTTTATTCTGTATGTCTTTCTTTTTTTTTCTCCATGACTGACTTGTGGTGGTTGCACCCTGGAGTCCTCCTCTTCTTCTCTTCCTCTGGCTCATTCCTCTTCTTTGGAGCCTAGATTTCTCCTCCTATTTATTCTCTGCCTGGCAGCCCCACCAGTCTGTCTCTCTTGCCTCTCTCCTGACTGTTGAGCTCTTTATTAGATCCATCAGATGTTGTAGACAGGCAAAGTAACACAACTTCACAGAGTTAAACAAATGTATCATAAAAGGATGCAACACATGTTTGCATCATTAAACAAATATTCCACAGCGTAAATGAGTGTAACACATCTTAAACTAATATTCCACAAAATAAGTGTCTTGTTATGCAAAAAAAAATCTTATATTAAGGGAAAGTATGTAAATTCTGGCTGCTGCAGTGTCTGGTAGCTGAGATCTTTATTGAACACCAAGCTCACCTTCCCATTCCTGAACAAAGGGATGATACCTCTACTGTGTCTTGTCTGTCTTTACTCAAAACAAGTGTGTGAGTCTGTGTATGTGTATGTAATGTATCTTTATATGCACCTTTTATGTTTACTTTATTTTTTCAGTTGTGTTATGCTTGGGACTGAAGCCAGTGTCTCTCACACACAGAATATACAACATCTGCCATTAAACTACTGATTCCAGCTCTTGAATGGTTTTAAATGTTACTTATTAAACTTTACTTTCTAGCTTGTTATGCATTCCATGAATTACTTTGTTTTTCTGACTATAATATTATTTTATAGCATTTAATTATCTTGGTTTTAAAATTTTATGCCTATTTATTTTTACCAGTTATTGCTTAGAAGTTGTTTTATGACCCCTCCACTTAATTTTATGTATTTGCTTACTTTATTCTCTTCTGAATTTCCAGTTTGGAAAAGCTGACTGAAGCTACTCTCATACATGTTCTCTAGTGTAATATATTTCAACTTCCTGAACTCCTTTCTATGTTTTTTTCTGTGCAGTTGGCATAGTTACATATGTATCAGCTTCATATATTCTAATAGTGTCTAACATGACTTTTCCCAGGCAATAATTAAGATCTCAAGAAGTGTTCCCAAGATTATATATGCATATATGGTAATTATTGTGAGCTCCTCTTATGAAACACTCCTACTGATTACTTTAAGCAGTTGTCTTTCAGTGGCGTACCTTTCCCAGTTATTCTGTGGTTCGCATTCAGGGAGCTCTTACTTTTGATCACACTGGATCTAAGTGTGTTCAGAATGCTGTTTTCTTGTCTGCTCCCTCCTGAGTCCTCATGCTCGCACAAACTTATTTTGCGAGACAGAAATCTTAGTCCAGGGAATATGGAATTGGGAAGACTCATGAGCACAATTGGGTGGAGTCATTCCCGAAGCACCACATCGCTGAGGCATGAGTCTCAGCTCCACCCTGAGTCACTGTTCCTGAGACTGTTTGGCCTTGCTAGCTATTAGTAAGACAGAAGAAAATTGCTCATCCCTGGGCCCCACAAATGCAAAGGTGCAGGTGAGCAGATGATGGC